GCGCAGCGAGCTGCGGTGACGTTCATGCGTGCGATGCGCAACTGCCCAACGGTAGTGCGTGTGCCAGCACAAGGCGTACTAGATTGGAGCACCCGCATTGATGGGGTGACGCCTCATGCCCCCTAAAAGGCGCCCAGCGTAGTCAGCAGGGGGAGCATCAGCCCGGCTAGCAGCCATTGCCAAGCACACCGCCCCCGCCTCTGCTTCAGTGGCGGCATCCTGTATCCAGTTATCGAAGCTGGCTCTCAGGCACTCTCTTTGTTGGGCCATGTCAATCGCGGGCCGAGAAATGGCATCGCAAAGCAGACCAGGCAAATGCCACAAGTTGTGCGCCAGCTGTGCCATTTCCTCAAAGCATGTTTCCATGATATGCCTGGGGCCCATCGCCCAACATGTGCTAGCCAAACCCTAAAGGACAGCTGCAACTCGGGGGAAACGTTGGTTTCGCTGGGGTCCTTCACTGGAGGAGGAGCGTGGCTGCAATGCCCAGGGGTAGTGATCCTATGCCTGATGAACAGGTAAGCCCATGTGCGGTTCAATCATCCAGTCGCGGCAGCTGCCATGCATTTTCTCCCCGGGGCATTTTGCACGGCACCTTTTCAGTGTAATAGGTGGGCGCTTGCGGTTTATACCAGCCAGGTCAGAGGGGTAATAGCAGGTGGAGGCTCACCATGTCAAGGGAACTTTGCTCTCAATAAGCACAGGGCCGCTCTCGTCAACCGGAAATCCAATCAAAAGCCATCCAGGGCATATGCCAGCGCGAGGTGCTTTCCTTGGAAATGTGGTATCAGCAGAATCTGCAACTGTGGAGCAGTATAATACTTGGTTGGGCGGCTGCCCCATTGCAATTGATGCAGCCACTTGCGGTTGGGCAAGACACCGCCCCTGACCCCGCATCCTGCCAGGCGCCTCGAGACTGTGCGTGGTCCCATGTAGGTTGCGTGGCCCTAGTCTGGTCTATGTAGGTAAGCGTCCGGCCCCGCAAGGTGTGTTTGGGAACGAGGGCACAAACCATATTCCAACCAGATGCAGTGATGCAAGCTGCAGCGCCGCCGCTATTCTCATTCACACGCGAGTTCTTTCACCCTACAGACCATTTGGGGTCAGTGTCTCCGGCTGCGGCTATCAGGTTTATAGCCGACAGTCGCAGGTTCCCCTCTGCAACATAGGAAGATAGGAGTTTGTTGCGGCGCAAGGATTCGCCTGAAGAGCGCTCCCAGGTCAGGTGTTTGCCAGCAGCTTGCATAGAGGCTATGGCAGGCAACGAATCAGTTCGGACCCAGAAGCGGAGCAGCGCGATAGGCAATATGTTCCATGTGCCATCAGTTTGGGCTGTGTTCTGCCTCTTGAGTATGGTGTGTACTGCCAAAGCTGGTCTCTGGCCACTCAAGCAGGGCTTTTGGCGACATTCCTGATGCCTCTTCAGATGCTTTGCCGGCAAAGGTTCGCAATACTGTGTGCCAGGCTACCTGCAATCATTCCCAGGTATGTTGGGTGCCCAGGCAGTAGTCAGTAGTCCAAGGCATGCAGGTGCAGTTGTCAGCACCATACCATCAAGCATCTGCAGCGGGCGTGTGCTAATTTGTCCGGTTGCGCGTGGCGCCTCTTGCAGTCTTGCAGGCGTTCACGGCATGGCAACGTGGCCGTGGTGAAGCATGGCAAGTGCTTGGGCCAACAGTGCTTCATTCTAGGCTCAGAGACCAGCACTAGTGGCCAACGTTACCCTTCAGCGTCATCTATGGGTCTTGACCACGTGCTGCCCCCAACCCTTGGGGAGGAAGCCCATATCTGTCAATCTGCTGCTTTGCCATCACCTTTCTGGCATCACAGCTGGCCGGAAGCGGATGTGCGTTTTGTGGCACACACCATCACGGTCTGGGGGAGTGGCTCCCAATCTTGGCGCAGCACCAGCGCGATTGTGTGAAGGCATGCGTCCAGGCGGTTCAAGTTTTGCAAGTCAAGCTGACTAAGCGCCTCTGCGCAAGTGCCAGACGTGTCATCGCAGAAGAACTCAGCAGCAATCGCCTTGTTCACAACTTTGGTCAGGTGGCCGGACATGACCCAGGCCCTACACATAGTCAAAGGCTACCCTGTGGTAGGCCGCGCGGAGGCTTCAGGCATCTCTAGGCCTGTCCACGACTTGGACAAAGAAGAAGATGTTGATGCTTGGGTCGCAACTTCAGTCAAAACGGCAGTTGATGCCATTATGGCACAACCACCTGCGCCTGATGCAGATGAGATCCTGCGCCTGACCCAGGAGAAGCAGGCTATGCGATTCTGTAGCGAATTCTTTTTAGGTTCTCAAATGGACACTCTCTTTCGGAGGTCTCACTATGGAGGCCATTAGAACGTTTCTTGATTACGCAGCCACGCGGAAAGGTGCGTGCCATTGACAACGCTAGAAGCACCTTGCGTAGCCAGCACACCGAGATGGAGGAGACTATCCATGTGGTTAGCGTTGATTTTGTGGCTAGCCTAGCCAGAACCCGTCACTGATTCCATGCGCGTAACAGCAGCCAAGCATCTAGTCCAGGATGGTCAACTCAGGGTTTCATCCGTGGCTGTTTAGGTTGTGGGCCAGGGTTCGCGGTTTGCCATTTTATATGGTTTAGCCGTTTAGCAGTCACAAGGATCGCGGGTATCCTGGTGACAATCCTAGTAATTGTCACCATTTTTCTTGGCGCAGATGTCAAGGCATCTCAATCAAAAGTGCCAAGAGTCAGAGGGATGGTGTCCTAATCACAACCCTCGTATATCATTGTGTTGGGACTCATCGTAGGTCTAAGAATCTATACCTCGTATATCATTGTCACCATTTTTGATGTCGCAAACCTCGAAAGTGCCAACGGTCACAAAGATGGTGGGTGTCCTAATCACGATCCGCGAATTGTCATTGTTTTTGATGCTGCAGATCCGCAAGAAGCCAATAATCACAAGGATGGTGCATGTCCGGGGGGAGAGATCTGCGTGACTTGACACAAGTGGTGAAAATTGTTGAAGGAAGAGAGAGGAGATCCGAATGTTTGCAGCAAAATATAATGTTGACACCCCTGTGCCCATGAGCAGGCTTGCGCCATCTGCTGGCTTGCTGGAGCGGACCCCAGGGGCGGCACTAAGGACACCTTTGCTCCTTAGCAGGGATGTCCGAGGAGCACTTCATCCAGCCAGCTATTGGTGCGCCCATGGGGCGAAAGTGCCAGCACTGTTGACACCGCAGTGGTATCCCCACGTTTTGCGGTCAACTTGTTGGTGGCCGAATTTGGTGGCACCGCAGTGGTATCCCCACGGCTTGCGGTCAATTTCTTCGTGGCCGAGTTTGGTGG